TCAGTGAACAGGAAGTTCCCTTAAATAAGCAGGATTGGCAAGGTGTCTTCAATCAGTTATTAAATTCTAAACTGAGCTGTGAGCTCCATTGTGACAGCACAAGATGAATTCGAAGTATCTGGGGTGGGAAATTAGATGGCCTAAGCTCAATTTGGCAAGAAATAAATGAACTGTATCTGGTTTGGATTCAGAACTAGGTGAGCTGCATGCCTGCATTCCACAGTGTTAAATCCCAGTCACGACTAGCTGTTATATGCCATTTCCAAGCCAGAGCGCAAGCAAATTAGTAGTACTAACTTGTTACTTACAATCTCCTATTTACACGCAAGAGATTTAGGTGCGCAAGCAGCACGCAACCAACCAAGCACCGCAACAAACTGAGCCCAGAAAAAGTCGGGAGCTTTTCGCCGGACACGCTCACCATTGGATGGAAGCAGGCGCCGAAGTCGTGGGAGGCGACGAAGACGTGGTCGGCCCCGGCGGAGCGGTTCCAGTACGGCATCCGGACCCGGACGAGGTCGACGGCCTCGGCGAGGAGGCCCCGGGCGTGCGACAGCGAGGGGAAGCCGTTGGCCGTGGAGAAGTTGCAGGAGACGTAAACGGGGACGAAGAAGAGGTCGGCGTCCTCGGGCCGCGCGGCGCGGCCGGCGTAGGCCAGCAGCGCCTCGTGCACCGCCACCTCGGCCGCGAAGAGGTGGCGCGAGCACCGCGCGTCGGCGGCCGCCCAGTCACGGTTGAAGCGGGCGGGGAGGTCGTAGACGTAGATCCGGACGGGGGGCGCGGCTGCGCCGGTGGTGGTGGCGGCGAGGGCGCGGGGCTTGGAGCGGAGGAAGGAGGAGCGGCTGAGCGGCGCGGCGGCGGGCGGCGTGGCGGAGAGGAAGAGGGCGAGGGAGAAGGCGAACCAGAGCAGGAGGAGGAGCAAAGTGGAGTGCTTCCGCAGCTTGGCGGCGAGGGTGGGGGCTGCTGGGCTTCTCCTCGGCTTGGGATCTCTCATGGCGGGGGCGCGGGTGGACGGAGCTCACGCGCCCCTCTGTAGTCTCTGCTATGCTTTTGCTTGGCTTTGGGACATCACGACTTCTTCAGAGCTTGCTGGTTCGGCTCATCGGCTGCTGTGCTGTGCTGGCCGCTGGGCCGTCGTGGACTCTCAAAAGTCTCTCAAGTCTCAACTAACCCTTTCGCCTTCCTTGCTCTCCTCTCCTCTCCTCTCCTCGGAGTAACCGAGTTGGAGTGTATTTCTTGTCAAGCCAAAGCGTTTTTCCGTTATTACTATTACTCCTACTCATCTCTTTCTTATCCCGAGATGTGAAGGGATTAAGCAAGGTATTCTTTTATCTCAGGCGGTTACTTTTTTTGTGTGCTTTCAGATTATATTTAATTTTATTTTATTATTCTTTGACTAATTTATAACTTATGAAGTATTTTTTAATTATAAAGTTTGTTGTCAAAGACTATAGTCTGAAAACCTAGCACCTAAAATATAACAACTTCCTTAAAAAAACAATACTTAGAGCAACAACTCCAACAGATTCGGTATATCCTTCTTAATTTATAGGAATAAATATTTTAATGAAACATACCCACAAGCCTCTTTAATTAGATTTTCAAATGTAGATATTCTATATTTCGGATTTCTCGTTAGTCAAAGATGGAGAGCAATGATGGCTCTTTACAGTGTGCATAAGATATAGAACAGTTGTTAGAGGGTACGAGGAAATAGAACATGATTTTTACTCAAATGACTCTCCAAATAATAATTTAGAGAGTAAATTTTAGAACGACTCTCGGATATGCTCTTAGTTATCCATGCCTCGTTTACAAGTGAGCACGTGCTTCGATAACCTTGCTACTCACTGGATTGGGGTGTGTCATAGTACCATATATATTTCAATTCAAGTAAGGTATGCAAATCACTCCAAAGGTTAGTTTAAAAACTCCAATCTCCTTGTCATCCTAGACTTTTTCTAGAGTAGCAATTCATGGGTATGCTATTTCAGTTAGTCACTTATAGTTCTCCATACAGGGCTTTCTATCTCTGGAGTTTTCTCCCTCTTATATATTGTAAATGGTATGAGACTCATGTCTAGAGCATTCTAGATGTGAGATTCCAGTACATGAGTTGAGAGCAGAATAAAATCGCTCATGAGCTTGCGCAGTTGACGAAACATACATCACATTCAACAATGTGGCGTGTGCAAGTTCCCCAGTGCGTGGAGTGCCTTATTGCGAAAGAATGTAACATGTTCCTTGAGTAATCAACATAACTCTCTCCTTTTTCCCAAAAAAGTGGCTATTTAGATTTTGCATTTTGTCAAGTACATGAACAAACATCAATTGGAGTCATTTCTATTTCAATGTTTGTTTTTCTTCTGACCAAACAGAACCATCAATTGGAGCAAGTTTTATACACATGTACACTGATTCGAGTTTAAGACATTTCTTTATATCGATTATACAATGCATCCTCCACAAACGGTTAACATATTCATGAGATGCTCAGAACCTCACATACGTTCTGTTCAATTATCCTTTAGAAAAAAGAGCAAGCAAAACTTAAAACATCACGTGATTAAAAAGCAGGTTAGAGCATCTTTACCTGATCTCTTATATTACATCTCCTATAAATTACTTTAGGAGAGTACCTTAAAGTCAATTTAGGATTCCTCCATTCCAAATTATAAGACATTTGATTTTTTTGACACCAAGTTTGACCACCCGTTTTATTCAAATTTTTGTGCAAAATATCACTTCTTTTGTCGTGGCTTGCTTTATTAATAAAAGTTCTTCAAGAATAACTTAAATTTGACTATGTTTGCACAAAGTTTTTGAATAAGACGAGTGGTCAAACTTGGGGTTAAAAAAGTCAAACGTCTTATAATTTGGGATAGAGGAAGTAAGAGAGACTAGCGGATTATCTAAAATTTCTCTCTTATATTTTTTAGAGATAGGGAAGCACGAGTTGTCTCATTTATTCAGGAGAAAGGATGATTTTTAGGAAATCTCGTAAGAACCATAGGTGTAGAAGATATGATAGGAGCAACAAGTACATCCTCTAAAACACCATTTTTTAGATATAGGAGATGAGATAGGATATTTGGTAGAGATGCTCTTAGTTTTGCAATAATATACCTATTTATGGCTTTAGCAAAGAACCTTAGCCTTTAGTTGTCATTGCATAAAAGTACAACAACTTTAGCCACATGTGTGAGGCAAGCAAAGCCCTCGAGGAACATAGACCCTGCCTACACACACTTTATAATCAAATTATGGATCTCCAACGGTAAGATCACAAATGATCGCGCCAAAGATCTTGCGTTTTTTGCAATTTCCATAGCCGTCGGTGACTCACCGACCATAGGATTAAACTGCATACCGTGGCTCCACTACCGCACCGCAAGTTGCAGAGCATGTATCCAAATATAGAGCCATAGTGGTGGCATGATTCATTTGTCATCAAAAATAGGCATGGAGTGATTTTTATGTCAACTAGATTTATGCCTGTGCGTTGCACCATAGCCGAATAATTCAAAACCAATACAACAAGAATGAGAACATGTGGTTCAGAGTCACAATGGGATATAGATGTATCAGATTTATATAAATGTTATAGCAAATGATCTTGTAAAAAACTACACTTCAAAATTCATGTATTTCTGGACCATATATTATAGAAAATGTTGCCAAAAAGCAGTCTCATGGGCTGCCGTCGCCATTCACCGAGAGTCCGTGACCTAGGAGCATCTCATTCTTCTCCTCGCGCCCAACCACCACATCCTATTATTCTCCTCTGGACCTCGCGTCATGCTATGCCGCATCACGTCGTCCTCGTTCGACAAAGATGGAAGTGGGTGGTCGGGGCGGTGGGGGCGGTTGCTGCGACGACGGCGAGGGCGAACCAGTTGAGGAGTCAGGAGATTTTGGACGGTCGTTGCGGCGACACACGACGGCGCGCGCGCGAGGAGGGCCTTGAGCAGGGCCAGCAAGGACGTCGAGCGAGTTTGTAGAGGAACTTCCTCACAGGGCGGAGCTATGGTACGCGAGGCATTTCCTGAGCAGCACGAGGAGTAGATCAGTCGGGGTCTCAGGTATGCCTGGTTTCCTGGCGTGCGAGCGGCTGGATTCACGTGTCGGCACGGCACATGTCAGGACACGGGGAAGTAGGGCGGGGCGATTGCAAGCGTTCCTCCGATATCACGTCCGTGTATCAGACTGGACTCGGATCGGGCCGCGGTTTTCTGGGCTGCACACAAATTCTGGAATCAGAATTTGAAGGAGGCGCACACCATTTTTTTGTTGCACGAAACCTCTACCTATTTTTTAGATGTAATATATAAACAGATGCAAGTGGATCCTTGTTAGGGTTGTAGTTTCTTGTTACTAGAGGTTTTAAATTGTTATTATACTTTTTGTGGTTTTGTGAAATGGTCACCAAGGCCCCTGTCCCAGGCATTTGTTACAAATGCTACAAAAATATTGTACGTAGTTTACTAGAATTAACAGTGTGATACAAGATGCATAGCCAAACTGAATTATCAATTATACTACTTCGCACCCCATTTTGTGGTAAACAGAAAATCATAAAAAGAACGTGAGAGAGAGACGAGCGCCAGCACATCGCGGCGGATAAACAAGACGTGATCCACGCTGCCCAGGAGACGAGGACGGTCGATCTCCTGACACATGCGGCTTCACGGACCGTCCGATGCGACGCGCGCCGGGGTCCCGGGGAGAGGAGCGTACGTGACCCGTCGCCGTCCGATCGCTCTCACGCTGCGGGAAGAGGAACAGAGGAACGGGTCAAAAGGCTATAAACCAGGGTGGGCCCACTCGATTTAGCAAAAAGCCAAACCACCGCGGCCCACGTCACGGGATCAGAGCCTCGCGTGGGCGCGGTCCATAGACCGTTGTCCCCTCCCCGTCCCCGCACCCGCAGCGCGGAACGCGGCGTGGCCCACGTCCACGAGGGGCCGCACGGCATGGGCTTAACAGACCGGGTCCACGCAATGAGGACGCTTCCCCCCCACTCCTCTCCTGCCCGCCCGCCCGTCCCCGTCGTCCCTCCCCTCTCCGTCGTCCACCGCTGCCACTGCGAGCTCGGCTCGGCCCCGTCTCGCGAGATATTTCTACGGGACGGCACCCGCGTTGCCCCGCCTCGCCGTCCCGCGCGCACCAGCCCGCCCGGGGGAAGCCATGAACTGCCTCCAGAACCTGCTAAAGTAAGCGCCCCCTCCCCACCCTGTCTCCCTCCCTCCCTCCCTGCCTCCTCGATTCGCTTCGGTTCGTCCTCCGGTTACGCGCTCGCCTGCTCCGCTCCGCTCATCGATTTTCCTGCAGGGAGCCTCCAATCGTGGGATCCAGGTCGATGAGGCGGCCCTCTCCGCTTAATCTGGTGAGGCTTCGGACCCATCCCTGCGTTTGTGTGGACATTCTGTTTTGTTTTTTCTCAACCTGATTTTGGTTGTCTTTGGGCGGTTAGGCGATGGTTCGCGGCGGCAGTCGCCGATCAAACACCGTCAAAACTGTAAGCATTAACTCCCACCTCGTCATTTCCGATTTCATTCCGACTACGGAAATCTTATCCTCACACTGAGGATAAGGTGTCTCGATATAGGCTGCAGCCTGCAATGGCTGAATCGCCGGTTACTGTTACTGTCACTGTCACTGCGAGTGTCGTTTCGTTACCTCGTTGACGACCCTCGGCTGTTGAATCAACGTTGTGGGTTGCAAGTTGCAGGCACCAGGGGCGTCCACTTCTGGTGCCGAGAGCAGCGCCGTGGAGATGGGCACCGAGAAGTCTGAAGTGTACACCACTAACATGACGCAGGCTATGGGAGCAGGTAAATAGAATGTCTGCTTCTGTGTGTGCTGCTTGTAGTGTTAGGCCTTGTTAGACGCTAACTGTCTTATCACATTCTGGGCAAATTGATTGCTGACTTGATGAATTTATAGCCGGGAAATAAAATATTTCCTACACTCCTACGTGTGTCACAATCAGAGTGTTGAGCTGTCAGTGTGATCAGACCACATGTGAAACAAACACTCACTCTCCAACATTCTAGTCTGACAGTTTCCTTTCCGTCTGCTTCCTGGATTCGAACACATTTTGGCGATTATGAACAGTTGTTCCTGAATGTTTAACTTACCATGTCCAGTCTGCCAAAACCTGATCCTGCGATAGTGCTTCACATGTAGTTTTGTTGCAATAACAATTGTGTTCCCACTTCATGCTTCAACATTGTGCTTGCCATCTAACCCCTGTGATTGCATTACTCTTTTAGTAAGTTTGATCTATTAACTTCTCTGATATGTGTTCCTTTTTTCCTTGTTATTATAGCGTTGACATATAGACATGAACTTGGAATGAACTACAATTTCATACGCCCAGATTTGATTGTAGGATCCTGCTTACAGGTGCTTGTCACATCCTTCTTTATACAGAAATATCGCTCCATAGTCCCTACCTCTGTCTGATTATCTGCATTCATGTGCAGAGCCCACTTGATGTTGATAAGCTTCGGAAGATTGGTGTAAAAACTGTATTCTGCTTGCAGCAAGATTCAGATCTTGAGTATCCCCACTAATATTTTGTAACACATAATCAGCTACCTTTACCAATCTTTTGATTTGAAACCATCAATTTCATATTGCCCTTTTAAGGGCTCAAATTTGCTAAACCAGACAGCTCGTTTAGCAGTTGTAAAGTTAATCCTTTCATTTCAGTAACAAACACAACAAAACAGTCACCCAGTCTTTGTAATTTTGTTATGAATTAATAGATGCTACCTCTGATTTGAACTGAGAAACTACCTGGGTTACTCCCTTTTCATGCTGACTCTGTTAGGTATCAATATCTATAAAAATGAACTTCAGCCCTACTAGTCAAATCTTTTATGTGTCCATGTTGGTCAATGCAGCACAAAACATCTTCTAAAAGTTTATTTGTATTTTAATAAAATGGTCTTTTGTTGTTTCCACTGCCATCTGATGCTTCCATTCCGTGAATATATCTTTCTTCCTTTACCAACCAACTTGTTCAGATATTTTGGAGTTGACATCGGTGCCATTCAAGATTATTCTCTTCAATTCAAAGATATCATGCACTGCCGTGCTGAAATTAGGTACCCAAACAGTCGTTATTTCTTTTTGGAAGTTTAGGGCCAAGAACTTTGTGTCATAAATCACTGGCCTTATTTATATGCAATCAAGCAAATCCTTTTCACCATGAGTTAATGCCCATTAGTTAAGTTTATAAGCTGTATAGTCTCTTGGGGAAATAGAGGATCTGTATTTCCATCGAAGACACTTATATGCCAGTTGCCAGTTTGTTTTCCTAGCATTGATCTAAGTGCCCCCTTTTTTCCCCTATTGCCGTTATTCTGCATATTTAAACTGTTCCTATGTTTAATTACAACAGGGATTTTGATGCTTTTGATTTGCGATTGAGGCTTCCTGCTGTGGTTAGCAAACTGCACAAGCTTATCAACTGTAATGGTGGTGTAACATATATACATTGTACTGCTGGACTTGGAAGAGCTCCTGCTGTTGCAGTAGGTTTACATAACCCTTTTTTTTTTGTTTCCCAAGACAGCCTATTGTTTTACAGAGTCCTTTTGTTTCTCTAGAGATCCTTTTGCTGCAGTAGGTTTACATTAATTTTCTTATATTGCTCATACCCAGGTTGAATGAAACAAAACCTTTTGGAGAAAACCATGCTTATGTGCTTTAGAAACAGTACCAAGTACCAATCCTCTCAAGTTACAAAGTTATGCCTAGATAAAAAAAAGAGCATCCCATGGCGCACTGACATAAATACAAATGCTACAATCTGCAGCTTTGTAGTGCTTTAATAACCTCAACACACTGACATAAATACAAATGCTACAATCCACAGCTTTGTAGCGCTTTAATAACCTCAAGATTTGTCTGGGTCTAATTTCTTCCAAGTTATGTAACTTAATTAGAAAATAGTACTTAGGGGGACACATCATTGGCTACAATTTGTTGTTGTCCACAGCCTTGAGCATTGTTGTTTGATAGCTTTCTAAGTCCGAGCACTTATTGTAAAATTTCAGTTGGCTTATATGTTCTGGATTCTTGGGTACAGTCTCAACGAAGGACATCAGCTGCTGCAGGTAATTCATTGCAGTTGGTACAACCTTTTTGGAATATTTCAGCAGTTCTGTTTGTTGGAAGAAAAGATAATATGCCGATTATCTGTGCACTGGAAAACTAACATCTAATGATTGCCTGCTTGTGGGAATTTTGATGGTCCTCCGCATCTGTTCTCTATACTCCATTTATGTTGGTAGCCTTAGTGCTGTTACCATACAGCTAGTAGACAAGTTCTGTTGATTTATCTGTTCTTAAATTCATTTTTCATTTTGTAGAGTAAACGGGCTTGCTTTCCAAAGTTGGAAGCCATTAAGTGGGCAACTGCTGACATTGTAAGCGAATATTGTACTAATTTCTCAGTTGTAGTTATGATGGAGAAGATGGATACATATTATAGCGAGTCAAAGATTTTTCTACTAAGCGATGGCTGTCTTATTATTTAGCTGACAGGATTATCCAAAAACACAATCACTTTGAAGTGGGAAGACGATGGTTCTTCCACTGTTGAAATTTCTGGGCTCGACATTGGCTGGGGCCAGGTATGTTTTTCCTTCAATTGTGTGTTTAAAGATTTCCCTTTTGAACGTGAATAGGATTAGGGCATTTATTGAAGTTGCATAATAAATTAGATGCTACTACCTCTACCTGTCTACCTCTGGCCATATTTATATGACGTTCCGACAAAGCTGTCTTTGTTAACTGAACTGGCCCCTGCGGTCGGGATGTCATATATATTGCACTGGAGGGAGCACATATATATTCTGTATGAGGCTTAGTGGATTAAACTGGCAATATATCCCTATGTGATTGCTTTGTGGATGAAACTAGGCCATTCATCTGGGTTTCAACATGCTAGCTCAGAAACATTGTCTCGAACAGGAAGGCCGTTATCCTAGTTAACTCTTAATGTTGGCACTGATTGTAAGTAGCATAATTTTAATGCAGCTGTCAAGTTGTCAATAACGCAGCAGGTTACTTTAAACTAGGTTTCGGATATTATTCGTTTTGTCGTATGCACTCGACAGTTAACGTTTTGTACCTGCAGACTACAATAAAAGGCTCTCACAAATTCACCTGTTTAATATCAGTTATCGAGAAAATGATATGTATGCAGTACTATCTGCTCCGTTTCGCACGACTTGTGTCTTACAATCTGTTTTTGATAGATATGCCTAAATCAAAATTACAAATATGATTTCCCCTCACCTGCTTAGGGGCTATGATGGTTGAACAAGCCCGTCTACCTGTTAAATATTTTTGTTGGATAATCCCATGCAAAAGTCTTTAACTGGTTGCTATTTATCCTTTCAGAGAATTCCTTTGACATATGATGAGGAGAAAGGAGCTTGGTTTCTTGAGAAAGAGTTGCCTGTAAGTATAAAATGCATATGTTAGGAACCGTCTAAAAGTTCATCAATATTCATAATTGCATTGTCGAAAGTAGGGATGAAAATGGATCGGATACGAACGGATATCACTCATATTATATTTGTTTTCATATTTCTGTTCGGATTCGGATTCGGACACGAATAGCGTTCGGATACATATACGAATACGGATTGACTCGGTTACGGATACGAATAATGAGTATCGAATACGGTATGAATCGGATTCGGAGAAGGTCGGATACAAATATCTATTGGATATTGAGTAAAAGCAGATATATATATATATCATACGTATGCATAAACCATTACACCACTCTATGAGTCCATAATCCATCTAGATTAAGCCGAAAGACTAAAGAGTAAAGCAACAAATAAGATAAAGATATGGATACATCATACATCAAACATCATATAAGCACCAATCTTCGGCGGCATGAGTAGAAATAGCCAAGCACATTGCTTCATGGGTCTCATGGAGTCATGGTCATGGATTCAAGATCTACAATCCTTATATAGGTCATTTTTTCATTTTGAGAAAGTTTGAACAAAATGTAGTTCAAATTTCACAAGTGTGTGACATAGTTTTAGAAGTGCGTATGAGATTTAAGAATTTGTGACTAGTGTTTGATAAAACTTTCTCAAATGGGAAAATGAGCTATGTAACAATTGTATATCTTCTTTGAGATGATCAAACTTGGTATTCAGAGTTTTTTTCATCCGAGGTCATTTAGTGTCTCATTTGAGCAAGTTTGACAAAGTCAAATTTGGTCAAATGAAAAAACAACACTTTGACTCTAGTATTATGAACTCTAAATAACTTCAAATTGAAAAGTTTTGAATACCAAGTTTGTTCAACTCATCAAGATCTACAATTCTTGTTTTGGTCAACTTTCCATTTGAGATAGTTTGGACGGTTCAAATTTGTGATTTTTAAATTTTGATGCTTACAAACTAGTTTTTGGAACCCTAGATTGTCTCAAATTGAAAAGTTTTGAATATCAAGTTTGTTCAGCTCATCAAGATCTACAATCCTTATATAGGCTATTTTTTCATTTGAGAAAGTTTGAACAAAATGTAGTTCAAATTTCACAAGTGTGTGACATAGTTTCAGAAAGTCTATATGAGATTCAAGAATTTATGACTAGTGTTTGATAAAACTTTCTCAAATGGGAAAATGAGCTATGTAACAATTGTATATCTTGCTGAGATGATCAAACTTGGTATTCAGAGTTTTTTCATCTGAGGTCATTTAGTGTCTCATTTGAGGTTTGACCAAGTCAAATTTGGTCAAATGAAAAAACAACACTTTGACTCTAGTATTATGAACTCTAAATGACTTCAAATTGAAAAGTTTTGAGTACCAAGTTTGTTCAACTCATCAAGATGTACAATTTTTGTTTTGGTCAACTTTCCATTTGAGATAGTTTGAACGGTTCAAATTTGTGATTTTTAAATTTCGATGTTTACAAACTAGTTTTCGGAACCCTAGATTGTCTCAAATTGAAAAGTTTTGAATACCAAATTTGTTCATCTCATCAAGATATACAATCCTTATATAGGCCATTTTTTCATTTGAGAAAGTTTGAACAAAATATAGTTTAAATTTTACAAGCGTGTGACATAGTTTCAGAAAGTCTATATGAGATTCAAGAATTTATGACTAGTGTTTGATAAAACTTTCTTAAATGGAAAAATGAGCTATGTAACAATTGTAGATCTTGCTGAGATGATCAAACTTGGTATTCAGAGTTTTTTCATCTGAGGTCATTTAGTGTCTCATTTGAGCAAGTTTGACCAAGTCAAATTTGGTCAAATGAAAAAACAACACTTTGACTCTAGTATTATGAACTCTAAATGACTTCAAATTGAAAAGTTTTGAATACCAAGTTTGTTCAACTCATCAAGATCTACAATTGTTGTTTTGGTCAACTTTGCATTTGAGATAGTTTGGATGGTTCAAATTTGTGATTTTTAAATTTTGAATAAATATCCGGATAATATCCGTTTTTAAATATCCGGATATATCCGATACTTATCCGGATTATCCGATATCCTCCGGATATCGATGATATTACATCCGTATTTGATATCCGCCTAAGATATCCATTTTAGTATCCGTATCGAAAAAAAAATCGGATATCCGAGTAACTATCCAGATAAGTGTTCATATTTGTTCGGTCGAACGGACGGTCGAATAAATATCCGTACCGTTTTCATCCATAGTCGAAAGTAATCAGCTCTTGACCATACATGGTATATGTAGACCATCTATGTGTTGACATCCAGCCTGATCGTTTATACTATATATATCTTTACATTTGAATAACCACCTGAGGAAATGGGGGTTCTAACTTGTGAAAGTCAGGAAAGATTGTCTCTCACTGCTGACCTTATATATAGAAATATAACAGTGGCAATTCTATGTGTCCAGAAAGCCTGATGATAACTGCAGTGTTCTTAACAAAATATTGTCTGTGATACCTTTGAACATAACATAGGAGTTAAATTTTATACTCGTCATATGGCTATATCTTACACCTTTGGGATATCTGTTTCCTGAAGGAAGGACGGTACGAATACAAATACATAGTGGATGGCAAGTGGCTATGCAACGAGCATGAGATGTTAACGAAACCGAATGCTGATGGGCACGTGAACAACTATGTCCAGGTGAGATCCTCTCGTCGATCTGCCGGCGCTATTGTGAATGAACCAGATAGATGTCACATCTGAGGGCTGAGGCCGCATGCTTTTTTTTTTTTTTTTTAACTAACGGCTGCATGCATGCTTTTGTTGGTTGCAGGTCATCAGAGACGGTACCAGTGACGAAGAGAAGGAGCTAAGGGAGCGGTTGACTGGTCCAGACCCTGATCTCACGGGCGAGGAAAGGCTGATGATCAGAGAGTACTTGGAACAGTACGCGGATGCCGGGGAGCGCTAGGAAGGTCCAGTTGAGACGATTCACGTTCCTATGTGCTGGTGTATAAACAAGCAAGCTCATTGGGATTAGGTGGTACTGGGTACTAATAATAAGTATGTACGTATGGCATAAACTGCAGAAGAATGGGCTCGGGTGCAGTCTGGGAGCAGAACAGTAGACCATGGTGATGACTGATGAAGAGACGAGACGACGGACTGAAGCAAGCCGACCTGACCGCACCTTCCTTCCTTCCCGGAAACGTCGGGGTTTTCCTCCCCCTGTTGTCAATACTAGTAGCGTAACCGTGGAAAAGGGCACATTCTGCTCGCATAGTTGAAGGAGCAAATTGTACGTATTGTTGAACAGCTGTGCAGGAATAATAAGTAGTAGCGTAAAACAATAATAAAGTTACAAGTGCATGTTCTTGAATGAATAAAGAGTAATATTTTGGATCCTTTGTCATCCTTTCCTGTGATTATTAGTTGTTGGTTTGGTCACCTGAGAGGCTGAAGACGAGATGGTTTCCAACTTCATCTCCATATATAATATGTTGTCATGTTGTTACTCTACCGAGTTTGTGCTGTGCCTGTGAGGCCTGAGATTGCATACAACATGAAAAATGAAATTCACTGGAGATGCAATCTGGCTCGCAACTGAGAAGATGGTTTGGTGCAGCAGCACCCACCGAAAGAGGAGACGCGTCGGTGAATGGTGATGAATGTGTGTGGACTTGTGGGCAGAGTCAAGTGTCAAAGTCGCCGTTCCTATTCCTTCCCGTGGAAGTCAAAGTCGGGCGGTCGCATCAGCAGGCGACAGGCGTTCATGTACAGGCGAGAGCGAGTGGTGGTGGACCGGTTGGTGGAAGGTGACCCGCACCCACCCAGACGGCCAGGCCAACCAATCCTTCTACTACTCCGTACCAAAACCGAATTTGCAATCGTACCAAAGATTTCGAAATGAAAATCTAGCGTTGGCGGCAAAGCAAAACACTGCAAGGATCATTCTCCCTTTCCTCTGGAGAGAATAAATCAATGAATAAGCAGCAAGATTTTGATTCCATTTATTTATTATATATTATATAAGTAAGAGTTGTAGAATTGATTTTTACAGAGTGGAGTGGAGTGGAGTGGAGTATTGCTAGGGCGGCAACTTTGAATATTGATTTACACAAGAAATCTAGTAAATGAATAGATAAAAAGAAGCGCTACTAGTAAATGCGCTTGCTTGTTGCAACAAGACAACAATCAGTGGTAAACAAAGCAGAAACTAATAAATAAAAGTGACTGCTTGCAAGCTACGCTAAGGTGAAGATTGAGCCTCAGCTTGAGCTTGAACTTCATCAAGGATCAATTCAAGCCGCGCAGCGTTTGTTGGCGGAGGCGGAGGCGGAGGCGGAGACGGAGCTGGAGCGGCGTCGCTTGTCGGTGGTGGTGGGTGCGGGCGGAAAAGGCGCTCGAGCTCGTCGAGGCGGAGGCTGATGACAGGGACGGAGGAGCACTCGGCAGCAGGCTGACGCTGATGCTGATCCCCTGAGCCTGAGGTTGGGCCTGGAAGAGGCGCTTCCTGCACGGCGGCTTCCTGGGCGCCGGCGGGCACGTGGTGGGCTCCCTCAGGTAGGAGATCCTGCTGCCTGTCGGCGTCTTGCAGTAGTAGTCGTCGTCGTCCCCGGCGAACACGAGCGGCGGCTGCGCGGCGCAGGCCGGCGAGAAGGCCGGCGCGGCGGGCTTGAAGAACTCGGGCGACGCGGACATGGTGGTGGCTTTGAGCGAGCGAGGTGGTGGACTATCTCGTGGTATTGGTCGGCTTTGAGCGAGCGAGTGAGGTGGTGGACCGAGACCGACCGGTGGTATATGAAGGAAGGGAAGGAAGAGAGAGAGGAGCAGGAGGACGGGCGTGGCCGTGTGGGGGAGAAAAGACGCACGCGTTCAGTCCTTGCCGTGGAAGGAAGGAAAGGCAGGAAAGATTTCCTTTTTCCCCCCTTTTCGCGCTTGCGAGCCGTGTGGTGTGAACTCCGTGTAGATTGACGTGGTGTTTGCCTGGGTGTCTTTCCTTGGATTGACGTGGGGATTCCCATTTCCAAATCAATACTCCTATAATATAATGGATAGATAGGAGAAAGGAAACATATATTAGAAGAGAAAGGTGAGATTAGTAGGAAAGTAGGTTCTGTTCGGCGGTCTGAAAAAACGGCTGAAGCTAATGCACGTTGATGCTGATTTATTTTAAGAAAAACACTGTTATTTTGATAAAACAGTACGGTTGATAAATTCAAGTGAATATAACCGGCATACTCTACCACTTAATCCATCTCAAATTGTAGGACGTTTGACTTTTTTAACACCAAGTTTGACCATTCGTCTTATTTAAAAATTTGTGTAAAATATTACTTCTTTCGTCGTGGTTTGGTTTATTAATAAAAATTCTTCAAGAATGACTTAAATTTAACTATATTTGTACAAATTTTTTAAATAAAACGAGTGGTCAAACTTAAAAGCCAAAAAAATCAAACGTCTTACGATTGAGGATGGAGGAAGTAATTACCAATTCCTTCAGGCTGTCGTCAGCAATCGCTCGCCTCTCCCTCTCCTCTATCTTCTTCCTCTTCTTCTTCCCTGCGGACGTATGTATCCCGGTCTTCTTGCTCCCATGGCGGCTCCCACCCACTCCAAGATGTGCAGCCAGCCACCTGAATCCCAGTGCCCTCCAAGTCGTCGGATCCAATCCAGGCACGCCACCCCTACAACAGCTCATGTGCTTCCCCGTGCGCTGAGGCAGTTCCGGATCCATGGCTGGAACCATGGGAAGGTTCTGGATTCCACCGATCGCGATCAGGGTCCGGTGAGGTGCAAGCGAGGTTGCCGGACAAGGTTGGATCGATGGAGTCCTCGCTCCCTGGTCGATGAATTGCTGCTCATCACTTGCCAAGGATGGATTTTATTCTTTATATATCCTATATATAATACTGTACTCTGCTTTAATGTACATCTACCAAGTTAAGTTTGGGAATATCAGAGGAACAACGTACTTATAGTCAGACCAGATCAAATAATAATTCAACAATTTACATCTACCAAAACTCTGTAGGCTACAAAAAGGTGGTAGAAGATGAGGGGAAATTGTAAAAGGCAGAGAGTAATGTGAATGTCCAGTTCTACTTCATGTTGTACCTTTTTTCTGAATCTACTTTGTTTAAACCTGTTTTTCGAAACTAGTTAGGGCAGAATTCATTGAGATCACTAGAGATGGGATAGAAAAATGTTGTTTATCTTTATTTGTAAATCGAGGCATAATTTCCGAAATATTTTGCATCTTTGTGCAAGTGAAAAGGCAATGCAGTGGTAACTAAGAAAAGGAAATGGTAACAACACTTGCTTCTTTTTTCTCAGTGAGTTTCTTTGGCTTCATTTTTTAAAAACAAGTTGGTCAAAGGGGATCTTTTGTCCGTTGTTGTAGAATTAGAATTGAGATCACTAGAGATGGGATTAAAAATGTTGTTTAGCTTTATTCAGTATCGAGGCATAATTTCCTTGAAACATTTTGCAGAATTAAATGCATGTGAAAAAGGTAATGCAGTGGTAACGTGTGCACAAGTATAAATCGAGATCTAACAACACTGGTGCTTTTTTTTCTCAGTGAGTTTCTTTTCAGATTTTGAATACAAGTTGGTCAGCGCGGGAATTTATTTTGTCAGTTGTAGAGATTAGAATTTCTACAGTGTGTGTTTCATTATTTTGCCCTTAACCTTGTGTTTTCTAGTACAGTAAATTTTCTCTAGGTAGTATAAATTTATTGAAACAGGCACCCAGGGAGGGAGAGAGAAGCAACAAGCGTCTTGATCGTTTGATTTATAAGTCATATTTTTTCAACTAATAAATAATATTTTTTTCACAACAGTATTTTCAGTTATGGTTTATCAGCCAAACGAATGGAACAAAAGTGCGTGCCACTGCACAGGCGGTGATTACGGTGAGAAATTTGTTTTGGTTTCAGCTCAGCCCTCGGCTTCACCGTGTCCGTGTGAACTGAACACCGTTTGTGTGTGTGGCATCGTGGCGGTGCCTTTTGGCTGGCTACTCGCTAGGGCCTAGGCCCTAGGGACCAGGGGGCCTGGGCTGGAATGGGACCCACAGCACACGCTGGGTTCCACTCCTGGAAGACTCCACGTCTCCACCACCTGGACAAGCACAAGGATAAGCTTGCTTCGGGCGCCGCCGGGCTGGTTACATCGTATTCGCATTCGCATCCCCGCAAGTGCATGCAGTGCACGTGCAGTTGTGCAGGCAAGCCGAATGCAAACGCAAGGAGACGACCACGCCGACGACAGCAAAGCAAGTCATCAGTCATGCCGGCAGTACTGCTCACCCATCCCAAAAACGCAATTTGAGCTTTAATAGTGCTGCTATCTTGATCGCTAGCGTAAACGATAGATGCTTAAATGTCAGGTTTAGAGCGTTCTAGTGCGTATTTGTTGTTGTACTTGCTTTTATGTTTGTGCTTGTATTGAGTATTGCTTGTGATCAGCTGGTAGCACTTTGGAACATCGCTAGTGATTTTGATCTTCTTGGGTAAAAAGGCAAGTGAACGTAGGGGTGGTTTGCTGCCGTTTTGGCTTGTTATTTTTATCACCTACAGCCACGTGTTCAGATCTAAAATTTTGTTTTTTTTCTAGACGGAGGAAGGACGTGCGTGGGGCAATTTGCACCCTGCAACGTAACGCCAGCAAAATGTACTACTAGCAGTATTGCTGTAATCCATCCAGCATGGGCCTAGTACAGGGAAAGGAGCCAAAATGTACTACTAGCAGTACTGATCCTTTAATCCATCCAGCATGGGCCTAGTACAGGGAAAGGAGCTTAGGTCGATTCATCCCATCACGTTTAGATGTGACCAAAGGCCCTGACGTTTGTATTTTAAGCATGCACTATTCACAATCACATCTGATTTCACCCACATTCTGCTTACATGTATGTACATTTTCCCACGTTCAGAATTCAAACTTTTTTATTCTTTTGTCAATAATTAGTCTACTGTGAGTTATATGTTTACAAAAGGAAATCTTGTATTCAAATTTTTTTGGCAAAATTTGCCAGCAGACACCGTGGAAATGTGGCTTTTGCCATAAACCATTCAAAAAATCTGCATTTGCCAAAAGACATCCTAAATCTGAATTATTATGCCACGAGACACCAAACTCAATATTATAGTTGATTTTAATAGACAGCCACGTGAAATGACGAACATGCCCTTTCCTTCTCTTCCCAAATCCCAAATGGGGTATGCTCGCGTCGCACGAAGAATGGAAGAAAGCGGCAGCGTGGCGCACCTCTCCCTTGCCGGCGGCGGCCACAGACAGCAGAAGCGGACCCCACGGCTGTGAGACAGCGGCGGCGCCCGCAGATGGCGGCAGTGGCGTCCTTCACCAGCGGCGGCGCGGCCCCCGCAGACGGCGGCAGTGGCGTCCTTCCATGGGGCGGCGCCCGCAGCGACGTCCTTCCGCGGCGGCTGCGGCCCTCGATGACGGTTGCGCGACGGCGCGCGGAGCAGCGGGATTGCAAGAATCGGGCCGCACAGGCTTTCAGGAAGAGGAAAGGCAAGGCCATATTTGTCATTTCGCGTGGTTGTCTATTGAAATAAACTAAAATAATAAGTTTAGTCGGTCTGTTAAGTTTAGTAGAGAAACGATCGTATCGATCGTGGATTAGTTCCAGATAAGAGAAAAATACTATTTGGGAAAATTTACGATTTTAAAGACATGTTTGACATATTAATTTAGGATGTGTTTTAGCAAAGACATGTTTCTTTAGTGGCGTGTGCAAAAGCCATAATTTAACGGTGTCTTGTGGCAAATTTTGCCATTTTTTTTCTATCATAAACTCTATATATTATATATAAGAAAAATCAGCAGTTCAAATGTGATCTCGAAGATCACAACAAATCAAATCGCTGGTATATATTATGCTAGAGGGAGTAGATCTAGAAAAACAGAAACATTCGTACCAAGTCAAAAACTTAAAATCTCTGTTTTTTTTTCTTTCTTTCTGTTTTGCAAACGTGTTTTAAGCATGTTTTTTTATTGAAAAAAAAAGGAAGCAAACACGAGTTTATCCAACCGTACGACTTGAGTTTGAACGGCGGGTTGATTTCACCTTAATATATAGAATTAATTACAGATTAGCATATTGTATTGACGCCTTTGCCAGCATATGCGATTTGGACGCAACTCCTACTGTCGGAAGCATTATCTGTTCTGTTATTATGTTTGCGCTTCTTTTCAAAAGAAGCTTTTTTAAGGAAAGGGCAATAATTGAAGCAAACAAACAAACAAAGGAGTTTGCGGCGATTATAGCCCGTGTCCGTGTGTTTTCTAAAGGAAAAGCTTGACGCCGCCGACAATTAGGTGCAGATGCATGCGGTCCACCGATCTAATTCTCCACTCCACTAGAAGCAACTGCAATTGCAATATGCATCCCCTGATGGCGGTTATTTTAGTTTATTTCAATCGACAACCACGCGAAATGACAAATATGGCCTTGCCTTTCCTCTTCCTGAATGACTGTGCAGCCCGATTCTTGCAATCCCGCTGCTCCGCGCGCCGTCGCGCAACCGTCATCGAGGGCCGCAGCCGCCGCGGAAGGACGTCGCTGCGGGCGCCGCCCCCATGGAAGGACGTCGCTGCCGCCGTCTGCGGGCGCCGCGCCGCCGTAAACCTTTATTTATTTAATTTAATACTCCCTACTCCCTAGTATATAAGATATACTCACTTCCTCTTAAAATATCTATCATTTTCTTTTCAAAAAGACAACTTCGACAAAAAAAATATATATTAAAAAATATTAATATTTATGATATATAATTGGTATCATTAAAAATATCTTTAAATCTAGTTTTTTTAATAAATTTATTTAGAGATATAAATGTTACCCGTATTTTTATAAATTAAGTTAAACTTGCACGGAAATAAAAAAAACAGATAATTTGAGAGGAAGTACGTAAGTAGGAACCCCTAACTCCACCGGGTTTAATAAAATAATAATAATAATTCACTTTTCGACAGGAATTGTAGGTGCACACCTGACCGTGACTTGCATCGGATCCGCGGGGGGTCTTTCTCATCATGACTGTGACTTGCATCCTTGGCTGTCCTGTTGGCTGTCCTGTCCCACCCTCGTCGTGTCCTGACATCCTGAGTAGTATATTTATTATATTATTATATTATCAATCGTCATTTCTTATTAGATAGAAAGCACAATTATTGTTACCAGGCTAGGAGAACATCTTTTTTTCTTGTATATCATTTTCTGCATTATTTATTGTACTTATTATAATAAATATAAATAAATAAATAAGCAAAACAAACGAAAAAAAAGGGTGAGGCGATGCGTCCCACGACGTGGCGGCAACATCGTGGGCGGCCCCAAGCATGGGCGACGTCACACCCAAGGTGGGCCTGCCAAGTAGGCCCAACACCACAGCCACGGCACCTTCCCTCATCTCTAGTACTGCTACTATGTATATTCCCACGCAGAGGTCGGTAGATCAACAAATGGAGCTTTCCGGTACATTAAAGATAGAGTTTGGATTAAAGTTTAAGGTTAGATAAAACAAACTCTATCTGTGGGAGGGAAGAAAATTTTAATTAAAGCTGTAGCCCAAGCAATTTCTACTTATACTATAGGATGCTTCAGACTTTCAAAAGGCTTTGTGATCATATAAATTCTCTGTTACGAAAATTTTGGTGGGGCAGTGAAAGAGGCAAAAGAAAAACAAGCTGGGTGGCATGGGAAAAGATGATCCAACCAAAAAATATGGGAGGCATGGGCTTTAGAGATATGGAATTTTTTAATTTGGCTCTGCTTGCCAAGCAGGCATGGCGCCTCCTCACTAGGCCAAAATTTCTTTGCTCCCGGTTGTTGAAGGCTATTTATTTCCCCTCAAATAACATTCTTAGTGTGCAGATTGGGAATAATCCATCTAAGACATGGAGGACTATTTGTGATGGGATAGATGTATTAAGACAGGGACTAATTAAACGTATAGGTGATGATGAAAGCACACAAATTTGGGAGTGTAACTGAATACCAAGATTTGGCATGTACAGACCTCTGGCTTCAAAGGAACCTACTTCTATGACATGGGAAGTTGATGTGGTGATGCACTTTTTCCATGAGATAAACAGTGAAGCAATTCTCCATATTCCACTAAGTATGAGAAAACAAGATGGCTGTTGGGCATGGCTCCATGAAAAAAGTGGGATCTTTACTGTACATTCCGCCTACAGAATGTTGATTAAGACCAATAAAACTAGAGAAGATTATTTTGAAAGGAAGACCAATTGCTCTGATATTGAGAGAAATCAGAAAGAATGGAATAGATTGTGGAACATGAAGCTACCATCTAAAATCACGGTGTTCTGTTGGCGTCTTGCATTCAACTCAATACCCACGGCTAGTGTGCTGAAAAGGAGGAATCTAGAAAAAAACATCAGAATGCTAAAATTTGTGGTGCAGAAAAAGATATATGTGACCATTCCTTACTGTATTGCACAATGTCTAAATGTGTTTGGGCATGGGTACATGAGGACCTAACAGATTTGTTGGCTACTCTACATATTACTGATCCAAAGCATTGAGTTTTATTTATGTGCTGCGATATTCCACATGTGGAAGGAAAACAGATTCTTGCTACTTCGTGAGCTATTTGGAATGCAAGGAGGAAGGCTATTCATGAAGGAATATTCCAGAGCCCTTTCTCCATTGTGGCAATGGTTAACCGCTTAATTCAAGAATTTGATTTTGTTAAGGGTTTTGAGTTCAAGGGATGTATTAAACCTCAATCAAAATCAAGAATTCAGCGATGGATCGCTTCTGAGAGAGATATGTGTAAGATAAATGTTGATGTTGATAGAGCTAGTCCTAAAGGGACTGTGGCTGCTGTATATTGGAGTAGTCAAGGATATTTTATTGCAGCCAGTGCTATGGTGGTTCCTAATATAACTGATCCTGAAACACTAGAAGCGATAGCTTGTTTGGAGGCACTAGCGCTTGCAGAGGACTGTGGAGTCTATAGACTGATCGTAGATTCTGATTGTTTAAATGTAATCAATAATATAAAGGAGATTTATAAAGGAGATGCCTCGTTGTGCTTATATAATGATCCTTCGAGATATTTATCAAACATCTAAATCCTTTGATTGTGTGCATTTTATATATGAAGGTAGGGAGTTTAATAGGGAGGCTCATTATCTTGCAAAGTATGCATGTTCACTTGGAACTGGCCGACATGTTTGGCTTTGTTCTCTCCTATTTTCCTTGATGTAAACATTTTGAAATGAAAAAACATATGTACCTTCCTCTCAAAAAAAAATTGTATATTCCCACGTGTTCCCAAACAACCTCTCTTTCTTTATTTATCCATCCATTCATTCACCCGCTGCAACGGCAGGCAGCACATGAGTAAGTACATGCTAGTATATGACAGGCTTTAAAAAATGTTTGGGGACCGAGGGGAAAATAAAACCCACCAGGACTGGCTAAATGCTTCTTCTGTTCCCTCTGAAATTGTCTGAAAATGCACGCGTGCTACCTGGGCTGACAAAAAAAGAGAGAGTAAAAAAAAAGACATCCACGCTGGCGAGTGGGCGCTGTTCCTGTTTCAGGCGCCCAGTACCTAGTCGCCCTGATGAAGCGGTGCTAGCACGCCGACCCAGCGCAACACCCGCCGTCCGCCTCCATTTGCCGCGTCCTTCGGTACCTGAAGCAGTTCCTCGCCAGCAGCAGGGCCAGGCCTACGCGCCGGCTGCTGACTACCTCGACACACATCTGCTGAGGCAGATCCTGGCGTAGCAACGGGGCCAAGGCGCGGCCACATGCGTAGCGGACATGCCGTTCCAGATGTTCGCGTACAGGGTCATGGAGACGGAGAAGACCGCCGCCGGCACGCACGCCAGCAAAGACAGGGCCACGGACTCCAGCAGCGAGGAGAACATGCTGTGTGGCAACGAGAACAGGGTCGGGGCAAGCACACCGGACGACGACGCGTCCACCATGTCGAGCGGCACCGTGAGGTTGCGCTCGAACAACACCATGAGGATTTAGGACCTGTTGGCGCACCTGTCGGCTTCCCACGGGCCGACAGGGAGCCCGAGTCCATGTCGAGCGGCACCGTGAGGTTGCGCTCGAACAACACCACGAGGATTTAGGACCTGTTCCCGCACCTGTCGGCTTCCCACGGGCCGACAGGGAGCCCAAGTCGTTTTTCTCTCTCCTCTTTACTCTCTCACAGACCCAGGCAGAGCCGGCGGTGGCTCCGGATGCGCCTGGCACCTATCGGCCCGTGGCGTGGGAGGCCGACAGCAACGGGAGCCGGAGCGCTAACAAACAGGTCCTTATTTTTTAAGAGAAAAAATAAATATAAGAGGCTAAACGAAAAATACGTGCCACGTAAGTAAGAAATGTCTACATGGTTATCATGGACCTACGGTGCACCACATAACAAGTTTAAGAACTCAGAAATGTATTTTCAAAGTTCATAGACCTATGTGACACACGTTTACAAGTTCGAGGACTACCGGTGTATTTAACTCAAAAAAAAAAAGTGGAATCACCACCATCTCTGAGCTGCTAGCCTGCTACACACCTAGTCAGAACTCAGAAGTCACCAATGCGCGGACACTGAGCTTGGCGGCCACCGGCCGAGCAGGGTGGGGATTGCCCGTGCTCGAGCAATTCCTTCCCGTGGAGACTGGAGAAGCAGAGGCCACACAGGCTCAAGTGTCTAACAAACGGGCCTGTGGCCCGATTAGGACTGCTACGAAACTGATGTGGACCCATATTTGGACCCTGGACTACACATGGGGCTCTAGGCCTGCTCGACACCCAGGACTTTATTGCAGGTTTGATTTTTCCTCGCCCAATATGTTCATCTCCTCCGACTTTTGAGTCCACTCAAAATTGCTCATTGGACCATGTTATAAGATTAAAATCATTCCAAGCTAGTCACCATAAGATATAGCACGATTCTAACGGAAACAAAAATCAAAACCAATTTCATAATTTTTTCATCTATAAAAACTAGTTTTCTATGATTTTTTTTTCAAAAAAAATTCAAATGAGATTTTTATTAAAAAAATAATAATATTTTTTTGATAAAGTCTAAACTATCAATATTATTTTCCAACTTACCTCTCAATCATCTTGTGGCTAACATGATGCCACGTCGGACAAAATTATTATCGAAACCATCTAGCTAGTTTCTACATTGGAAATGCTCTAAGAAAAATGAGAATGAGATAGGAACAAAATAAATCACTATCTAGATTCCAGATTTTTACTATGATAATGGCCCTGCTCGCTTCTCTTATAATCGGTCTTTTTCAGCTTGTTTTTTCAGCCGGAACAGTGTTTTTCTCTCACAACAAATCAGCTGGAACAGTGTTTCGGCTTGTTTTTCAGCGAAGCGAATGCGGCCAATGAGATCCAAGACGGGCGAAGAATCAAGTGGCAAAGTAGTGCCACTACAGTACTACTTGGTTAGTGATTCTAGCAAGGCAGTGAGTGACTCAGTAGTGGTCCAGAGAAGAAGACGAGAATCAGAAATGAGAAGGGCAGCTGAGCTCTGCCCTCGATCACTTGGATCACTCACTTCACTTTACGCTCTGCCAAGCAAACTGTACTTATAGGACACTTGCATGCATGGATCGAATCATCTCTGTCTGGAGAAGTGTCTGGAGCGAGTGACAGTGAACAAATGGCTGTTGGCTTTGGCCTCTGAAGTAAACTGAAACGTTCTAGTAGAGGCTTAATAATTGAAAGGAGGCAGTGCATGGATCATCTCTGATCTGATGTAGGAGTACTCGATTGATTTTCTCGGAACTCGGTCTTCAAATCGTCGTCGTCCCTGAAATCGTAGGGAATGTAAGGTGGGCGGGGGGACAGCAGCGTTGGTTCATACGTACGCCCTTTTCCTTCTTCCATTCCATCCCATCGATGTGAATGGAGTGCATACACCCAAAACAAAACAATATACACCACCGTACCCAGTGTTTCCTCCTGCTGGTCTGCTCTCAACTGGCCGGCACTAGTGTTCATGCTCATGCCGCGGCGATCACAAATATGATAGCATAGGATACCAAACAGTAATGGCGCAATTGGTAATCAGAGAAACAACAATCACAAAGGACAGAAGCTGGAGAAACTGCCAAGGGAGACAGATCATACGATCGATCATGGCGTACAGCCAGAGCGTGAAGACAATGCATGTTTCATGCTTCCTGATAGTGATATATAGCAATGCAACAACGCACTTCGTATATACAGAATAGTAGTGTTATATTATATATACTAGTAGTATTTTTGACCGACGTGTTACATGCATAAATACTCCTACATATATAGGACAAGACAAGATAGAAATTTGTACTGTACAAGCTAATTAAGCACGGTTGAACAAAAATAATACAGGACAAGATAGAAACTGCTATATATATATATAGTTGAATGTGTAGTTAGAGGACACAAGAACTAAAAGAATGCATGCAAGCATCAGTATGACAGTGGTGCCTGATCGAGCCTTTTTTTTCTAATAATATTAATAAAAATAAACAGTCAAGCAGAGGTGACCCGTCATACCAATTGTATTGGATTGGATCAATCATCAGTGATCAAGAGAGATCAGCAAGCATGCATGGCCCATCTCCTAGGTGTTGCTCCCTAGGGATCAAGCCATTGGAATCGGAGGCAGGCAACAAGCACGCGGTGGCTCTTGAGACCACTCGCGGATTTGGCGCCTTCTCTACGGCGCGCGCGGAAGAGGAAGAAAGCGAGCTGAGAGCCAGCATGCATGCACAGTGCCGACCGCTAGACAGTGCACGCGCCTCGTCGCTCCACCACCTCGGGATTTGCTCAGCTCTTCTCTTCTCTTCTCCTCTCGAGCGCACTCGCTCCCAAGCACCGTCTCCTCCTCCTCTGTTCTCCCGCCACCGCCAGCGAGGAATCCTTGCTATCCCCACCCACCCACCCACTCTCTTCCTCCTCCGCCTGCGCCTCTACTTATACTCTTCCCTCTCCCCACTACCGCCCTGACAGCGACACTGCCTAAAACCCGCGCTGATCGAGCACCTTCCCGGCTTCCTGCCACCATGGACGACAATGTCCGCGTCAAGACCCGATCTTGCGCCGGCGGCGAGACCTCATCGGCCGCTTCGGCGTCCAGGATCATCGCGCAGCAGTGGGCCGCGCGGCGCCGACAGCAGGCGTGCGAGCAGATGGTGCTCACCACGCTGGACCTCGACCGCCGCGACCGCGAGTCCGAGCTCCTCGCGCTCGCGCGCCTCCACGCCGTCTCCATGCTCGACGCCTCCTTCCTCCACGGCGGGGACGGCGGACCCAGCGGCAGGAGGCGCGCGCGGTCCCCCGAACGCGCGCTCGTCAGGCGGATCGCCAGGGAGTGGGCGGCGTCGGCGTCCACGTCGCCGCTCGAGGGCGCGGCGCGGGGACGGGCCCCCGGTGCCGAGGAGTGGCTGGGCGAGAGCGAGCGCGAGCGGGTGCGCTCCGTCCGCGAGCGCGTCCGCATGGCCTGCCAGGGCTACGACGGGGAGGAGGAGGCGCCCAGGTTGATGCGCGGCCGGCCGCAGGCGCGCGCCGACGTCGTCGTCACGCGCATGGCCGTGGAACGCCAGCGAGAGCTGCAGGGCCTCTCCGAGCACCGCGCCGTCTCCGCCTTCGCTCACCGCGGCCGCATTCAGGTCAAAGCCAAACCCCCTCAAGCTCAAACTAGCCTTTCACTTGGTCGATCGCTTTCATTTTCTTCTCCGTCCATCTCCGGAACCAAACATTTTGTTCTTATTACTTCTAACAAGAATGAACGATACAATTGACAAATCAAAGGGGTTGCTTTTTGGAGAAGCATAACTGCATAAGCATGATCATGGTGCATGTTCGTTTGTCGGTTTGGGGCATGGATAGGTGCAGTTGGATTTCAGGTGGGGGAAATCAATACAATATGTCAGGCCTATTACTTCAGTCGTCTCACCTACACCTACTAATCCTAATTACAGTAGTTACTATTACTACTTACAATAAACCAGAGATCAGTCAATATTATGTTGCATGCTTGTCAAGTAAATGTGAGAAAAAAATTCTTCAGAGAATAAAGAGTGCTGAAAATTATTCCTTTCTTCCTCTCTTATGAGGAATTGTTTTCTTCTTTTTCATTCTTTTTGACCATTCATAGGATTTTTTTTTTGTAAAGCCATTCATATGATTTGATACACCTTGCAAAGTGATGCTGTACTTTGGTAAAAAAAATAGTTTTTTTTTTCTTTGAAGGGTTAGCTGGCTAGTTGCTGTGCTGCAAATAGTATGGTGACACGGTACCTTGTCCGGTTGTGCTTTGTCCCTGTGATATGATAGTCGGCAGAGGGTATGCAGCAGCGGTGTGTAGCATGTCCTCTGTTTATGTTGCATGATGTGCACCCAAGTATTGTGTGTCAAGAAAAGTACTGCATTATTGTAGAGAGAAACTTGCTAAGCACCTAAAGTAGAAAAGCATTGTTTTAGTGTACTTCAATGAAATAGTCATGTCTGAGATATTGTCCTCTAGAGCATTTCATTGAATTGATCGTTATTATTTTCCAGTCTTTTCTCCGAGGTAGATTCTTTTGTAGCGGAAGGCCCATGAATGATGAGAGGTCGATTTCTATGACAACCAGAGAATTAGGACATGTTAGACAGAGTCATCTTGTATCTAGACTAAGGTATGACTTTCTTTGCCTAGTAGTATGGTCTCCTCTACTGTTGCTGATCTTGGATTTTGCATGTTGGATTTTGCTTCACCCAATAGAAAATTAGGGGGAAAAGATATCTTGATCAAGCTGCAAAAGGAACACAACTTTTGCTGCCATGTCAATGTATCATTTTTCATTTTTGGTACAGTTGACAAGAATATGATATTATTGACATTTGATTGTTCACAATATATTGTTCTTGCCTAGGGAAGAAGTTCGCTTTGGAACAGAAAGCATCACCAACGATCAATCAACTTTGGTGGCATTGTCTACTCAAACAAATTCTATCGATAATGAGTATGACAGTGTAACACCTCAAGTTGTAAGTGATGATAACAATCATATAGAGAATGCAACTCGTGGCTATGAAATCCTAACACAACAATCAATGCAAAATGAAGATTCACATATTGAAAACAATGTAGCTAACAGTAATGATGCTCATCAAACCGACTTTGCTCAAGAACAAATAGATCGATATGAAGATTATTCAGACTCAGGGTCCTCGGAACAGGACAATGATCATTCTAGTTATGCCTTTCCTGCTCCATCTAACAATGGTGTGCAACGCGAAGTTGAAACTTATGGAGGACAACAAAGTGATTCGCCATGGTCAAGGGATATATCTGGCACCCAGGATGGACATGACAACACCTTTGTACATAGAGATGAAGAATGGCTCATTATTGATTCTCAAGAACCTACACCAAACTGGCAGTTGGGACGAAGTTTCCCATCAAGTAGAAACGTTAATAGGCTTCATCCATCGGATGATGATGTTTATGGAATTGAACTCAGAGAGCTCTTAAGCAGGTATTTTCTTGCAATGGTCCATGGAAGGTAAATGTTGTCTTTTATGCCAAATGCTCATATAGCTCCTTCATTTTGCAGGCGAAGCGTGTCAAATCTTCTTAGCAGTGGCTTTCGAGAAAGTCTGGACCAGCTCATTCAGTCTTATATCCAAAGGCAAGAACATGATCCTCATAATTGGAATTTCGAGGAGCAAAGACCAACCACTGGTTTACTCAACGAAGATCCTATTGAAATCAGGATAGATGAACAAAATCGAGCCGAGAGAGACACTGCACCTCAGTCATCAACAATGTTGCCAGATCAAATACTTTTCCCACAGCAACGCCAGTGGCATATTGAATTGCCCCATCACAATTGGTTTCAACAAAGCATGCATCGTTCTGAATTTGTGAGTCGTCTCTCCCACCAACTGGGAAGGAAAATTTTTGTTCATTAGAGATCACTAGAGTCCTTTAGTGCACATAATTTTAAATATCCAAGCATTTATCTTGTTAAAAATGCTTTGCAGGACTGGGACACTATCCACATTTTGCGAGATGAGTTGACTGGAGTGCAGAGAGGAATGACCAACATGCAACAAATGTTAGAAGCATGCATGGAGATGCAGATAGAGCTGCAACGCTCCATCAAGCAAGAAGTGTCTGCTGCTCTTAACCGATCTCTAACCATGCAAGGTGCACTACTCTTTTCCTCTCATTCCAGTGTCATGCATGGTGCATGATTAATTCACTGTGTTTGAAGAATGATTTCTAGAACTTGAAGCAGATGAAGAAACGTTAGAGGATGGATCACAATGGAAGCTAGCAAGGAAAGGAACGTGTTGCATCTGCTGTGACAACCAGATTGACTCCCTTCTTTATAGGTTAGTCAGCTATTTCTCACACATTTTTAGTTGTACTATTTATTTCAGAAATATTGTCTGAACAATAACCTCTACATTGTCTGCTACTTACCCTTAGATGTGGACATATGTGCACCTGCTCAAAATGCGCCAGTGAATTGCTCCATGGGGTTGGAAAATGCCCGCTTTGTCGTGCACCTATAATCGAGGTGATCCGGCCGTACTGCATAATGTGACAGGAGGAGCCTAGATAGAAATGTAGAAGAGGATGAGGTGGGGGGGGTGTTAATTTGACTGAATGAAGAGGTTGTCTCATGAGTTCTGAGTTTGACTGCAGCAGCAATAGTTGTATCTTAGGGAACATTCAAACATGTATTTTGTTCATGTATCCTCCATGCTAATGCATTTGTAGAGACTTTTAATCTAGTAACCATGTATTGAAATAAGTGATCCATGTGATCACTGACACTAGCCTTCGTTGTACTTTGCACCTTAGGATGCAGAAATGTCATAGCATCATGCAAACTAAAAAGTTGAGTTGACATATATGCATAATCCATATAACAACTAGACAACTAGCTACCTTTATCTGATCAATGATATTACTCTAGATCAATATTTTTCTCCATGACAACCAGGCCCATGACCTATGTCCAAATACCATAAGTTTTGTGGCAGTGTACTCGTCCTAGATGGCCCCGAGTACCCTCACCAAGACTATAACTACCTCCCCAGGTGGTGGTATGCCAAGCCCGACTGGCCTAGGACAAATTCAACGGGGGACTCATCTACTTGGCAGACATGGCATAGGCAAGATATATATATGGAAATCGACTCCATCTATTTTAACTGACTCGAAAAACAACCTATAAACCGATCAAGATGAGACTATCAGTAACCGGGCGGCCCATTGCACCATGATCCTGGATGAAATGTTGTTCGCTGGAGCAAGACCGTATCGGGTCTTGGCACGGACATCGTCATCCATGTTGGCTGGAATCTGCATGGTGGAATGCCCAACATGGATAGGGATTGTCATTGTCGGATCGAGAGGGAGAGGGAATTGTATAAGTAGAGGCAGAGGAAATACGAAGAGAGTTCCTCGTTGGCAGGGAGAGCAAAGGAGGACAAGGAGTTGGCGGCCAGGGAATGTGTTTTTCGAGTTTCTTGGAGGAATAACAACACCGAGATGAGAGATGTAATAATTACCTCTATACGAAAACATACTAACATTTTTATATTAAATAAGTATCATTAAATTAATTATAAAATATATATTTACAGTAAATATATTTATTTGAAGATATGAATATTAATATTTTTCTATAAAATAGCTTAAATTTGAAAAAGTTTGACTAGCCGTAAACCTAGAATTGTGTTTTTTTTGGGACCGTGGGAGTAACCTGCACACATGCAACGGCGTAGAAGATTGACAACGGTGGCCTCTGATTTGTCCATCTCTGTGCACATGATCCGATGTATTACAAGCTGCCTGCCTGCCTCGCAGTTGTGTTGTATACTAGTAGTAGTGTAGTACTTGACGACTTGTTTGTTTCTTTGTGAAAAGCATCCTCGCCGACTGTAGTCCTGCACTCGTGCCCCTGCTATATATACAACAATATACATATATACTAATACAATATATTGTATATAATCTATGCATGCGTGCAAAGGTCCAAGTTAGTGATGCGTATCATGTATGGGCATGCATATGGCCACTTTGATACTCCATCTGTTCTAAATTATAAGTCGTTTTGTTTTTTTTGTTCATCTATTTTGCTGTGTGTCTAGACATATTATTGTATCTACATACGTAGCAAAATAGATATATCAAAAAATCAAACGACTTATAATTTAGAACGGAGAGAGTATCGAGTATATATATAGTCCCAAGTAAAAGCTAATCAAGGCTGCCTGACGTCCCTGCAGCAGGGCGTGGAACGATGGTTCATCGCCATGCATGCTTGTGTGCTTAATTAACCAGCCAACTGTCTGCACTGCGAATGTGCATGCATCCATCGTCCATATCTATTGAAACTCGAAAGAGAGTGCACGTACGCATATCGATCTGCACATGCATGGTTTCCACTCGATCTGAATCATGCACGCAGGTGCTGGTGCTGCCGACGTACGATAGATCCGCCATGCATGCATGCATCCCTGATCCCTGTGGATCTGTTGTCCACTTGTCCTTCATGGCGGCACAATACAAGCTAGCACAACGCGTGGCGATCGATCGCCGGTGCGTATGCTAAGTTGCTATATTATATCTTCGTTCCGCGCCGTAGAGAAGCCGCCAAATAAATCCGGCGATCGAGTGATCTCCAGAGGCATCGCCTGCTTGTTGCCTACCTCCAATGGCTGGATTCCTAGGGAGCAACACCTAGCCATGGGCCATGCATGCATGCATGCTCATCTCACTCACCGATTGATCCGAGATCGATCCTAGCTCCTCCAATCCAGTACAACTGGTACGTGATGATGGGTCACCTCTGGACTCTGGTTGACTGTTGTCTGTTGTTTATTAGTATAGTTCTTAGATCCACCCCTGCACATATCGCTATCATCCATCATCCATGCATGCATTTTTTTTCACAAAAAAAAAACCCCTTCATTTGGTCCTCTTCTCATTCAACTATTTCACCTCCCTTGTAGTATCGCAAATATGCTTACTTTTCTAGACACTGTCATGGGCTCGATCATGCATGGTGTGTATATAAGGTGCATGTTGATAATTAACTAGAACAGTTGCGTGTATATTATGAAGACAAAAAAAAGTTAGTTATGGGCATGGCTCATGAGTTCAGCCTTCAACTACGAAGCCTCAAAATTTACTTTTCAACATTGATGAATCTTTGCCTCAACTTTGTCAAGGCGTAATTTGAAAAAGGGAGAAGTCCACTTTGGGCCACCGAACTATTGCTTGTGTATGCTTTTGACCATTGAACTCAAAACCTAGAAATCTTAGCCATTGTACTGTTAAAATGGTTCATATTTGACCACCGAGCTAATTTCAATGGTCTTTTTGCTCCCTCCTTTACTTCGTCATTGCATCGTCCTCCTCCCTCCTTCTTTAGGGCATCATCTTTGCCTCCTCCCTCATTTACTTCGACACTACATCCTCCTCCTCCTCCCTCCTCCTTGGCACTGCCACTGCCACCTCCTCCTTTCTCCTCCTCCATCATCCTCATCCTCATCCGCAAGGGAGAGGGGCCGCACGGCTAGCTGATGGCTCGATGCTCGTCCATGCTGCGCGACGCCAGAGATGCTAGGCGAGAAGGCAGACCATAGGAAACATAGGCAAAGCGGTGAGTAGCGCTAGGCGGTAACTAAGTGTTGACATCAAAATTTGGTAAGCTTACACTGAGAGAAAAAAAAGATCGGCTGGTTGATCCGTTACAGAACGCAGCTTTGGCACACACAGAGGATCAATTCGGAAATCAGATGCGATTGCCAACGCTCAGAAAGGAAATAAATTATTATTTTGGTTGGATGTAGTCACGTATGCACAAGGCATGGTTCAATAATTAATGTATATTTGCATGCATGCAAGGCACGACGTCCCCTAAGCAAGTTGATTTGGACTTTCCAAAGTACATGCCGTGCTTACTAGAGAGACAAAGATGGAAAGACAGCTTACGGAAGAAGACTTGGTTACGGAAAGCACGTATATGAGATGTTGGCCTGAACTACGTGTTCCATTGGAACAGCAACTTCGGAAACAAAGAGAAAAGGATCTGGGCCCAAATGGTATACGTACTGTTAAAGTCCAATTGCCGAGGTATCGGAGAGTTGCCACTCCCCACTAGTCCTCGTTGGAGCACCCGCGCAAGGGTGTAGCTCCCCCTTGATCCGCGCAAGGATTAAGTGCTCTCTACGGGTTGATTCTTCGACACTCCGTCGCGGTGAATCACCCACAACTGTTCACAACTTGAGTTGGGTCATCCACAAGCTCTCCGGATGATCACCAAGCTCCCAATCACCACCAAGCCGTCTAGGTGATGACGATCACCAAGAGTAACAGGCACGAACTCTCACTTACCACGACAAGCCTAATGAGAAGGGTGGATGCACACTTTGCTACTCTTGATTTCACTAATGAGAGCTCTCTTTGGGATTCTCAAATCTCAATCACCTCACTAGGACCTTGCTCTTCTTGGCACTCTCTAAGGTGTTTCTCAGCTGTTGAAATGAGCAAAAGTACCCCCACACACGAGTGGAGGAAGTATTTATAACACCGGCTGAAAAACGAGCCGTTATGTGCCTTTGCGGGGTGACCGGACGCTCCGGTTAGTTCTCCCCAAACTCCAGTGTTTAAAGTGTGACCGGACGCTGGCCAGCGTCTGGTCGTGATTTTCTCTCTCTGGAACCTTTCTGAAGTCGACCGGACGCTGGCCCTCAGCGTCCGGTCACTTCATCTCTCAGCGTCCGGTCGCACCAGACGAAATCACCTTGGTCAAATGAACTGATCGGACTCTGAGCCAGCATCCGGTCAGTATTTGACCCTCCATTCACTTCCAACTCTCGATCATACGTGAATGAAGTTTGCTCCATTTGATCTAAGGGCTATTTTAGAGCTACCTAGTGCTAGATTTAGCAAGTGTGCACCACACCTAACTCACTAGACTCACCTAGGTCAAGCTACCTATCCATACCCCCCTTAATAGTACGGCCAAAGGAAAAATAAAGTCCTAAACTACTCTAAGTGTCTCTTCAACTCCAATCGACACTTAGAACTAGTCTATCCTTAACCTTGTCGTCCAATCCTTTGAAAACCGAAACGATTTCCATCATAGGGGCATGACCACCATGATCGCCCAATCGATCTCCATTACCATGATCTAACTTAATTGCCTCTGCAAAACACATATTAGTCATAGTAATCACGTATTGTCATTAATCACAGAAACCCAACTAGGGGCCTAGATGCTTTCAATCTCCCCCTTTTTGGTGATTGATGACAATACCACCTCGAGTATGTGAAAGAGATGAGGTTTTTAACATGCTTGGATCATATAAGCTTTTGGCAATAAGAACAAAAGAGTTAGACAAGCTTATATGACCCAAGCCAACAAGATGTACTCAAAGGATATGAAATAAGCATGAGTACAAGTAATAGAGCTCATTTGCATCGGAGTAAAACGCGGAAGCAAAAGCAAATGAGCATAGCATAAGTGATATGACATATAAATAATTCAAAATAGAGAGCACACATGTCATATACCACGATCACGTA